TTTTTTGAATGGTATGTATCTGGATGGATTATGACTTGTACACCTTTAAATCTTGTACGTGGTCTTTTACTCAAAGTAGTTATTTACAATTTGGGGGATCTCATCAATACTTTTTCTCTACAATTTTCTTCTCTCCCTCATCCCCCACCCCCCACCCCTTTTTTCCTCTTTTTGACCAATTTTGGGTAGTAGGGCTGTACTTGGTACTACTTATGGGGGGTGACTATTTTTTTATTTTCTTGGTCAAGTGTATTTTGTGATCTCCTAGAATGACAGTGTCTTCTGCAAGTCTTCAAATGTATTTGGACTCTTTCTTAATCGATCACTTCTTATGGTTGTTGGAGGCCCCTCCTTGTTCGTCCAGATACTGATTTTTATCTAGCAGGAGCTATCTAAGAATGTGCTGGTTTTATCAGCCAGTAATTGCTGCTGTTTTTGTGTTTATTTAGTTTTGTTGTGCTTTGTACAATTTATGTATGATTACTTCTTGAGCATATGTTTTTGGTTTTGTTTTGGTTTATTGTAGGAATTTGTTTTGTTCCCTGAAGAAGTGGGCTGCATCCCACGAAACGTGTTGGAATTCACAAACAAAACACCTCATGGTTTCAAGTGGATAACAATCACTTGTTTTTCAACAGCTATGACATTGTCTATTTAGGTGTTTTTTCAACATCATTATACTCTGTCTTCACTGTCAACCATGTATCATATATTATTTCTATAGTTTAGTTTTTTGTTCTTATGTAGTGGTTGCTGTTCATTGCGGCTGACACCTGTGATGCCAGTGCGTCTAGGATGTCAGCCACAGATTACTGCAAGCGTTTTTTTTTTTTGGTTTTTTTTTTTTTTGATTTGTAATTTTATGTTTTTCAATGTTTATGCCTTATCAACTTTTTCCACCTAATAGGTGTTTTTTTAACCTAATAATAGGTGTTCAATTTGATCTATTGTCTATACATTTCTACTATACTTCTATTGTTATGGTGTGGTACCTTTTTAAAGCCCCATTAGCTTTTCTGGTTAAGGTCTTTAAACTATGACACTGATACTAATTTGAACAAAAAAAAAATCCTGACAAAAAAAAATACTGACCATGACCCTGACCTTGACCCAAACATTAACCCTGGCACTGGGCATAATCGTATAGGGCTGCTTTCACACTGATGCACTGTGATTTTTTCCCACACCTTGGGTGCAGTACAGTGTACCTACATCTTTCCTATGTGGGATTGCTGTGCTTAGCTTTAGGGTTGGGTTTGTTGCACTTTCTGAACGTGCACCAAAACTCCTGAATCTAGAAGGTTCACCACACTCACTGTGCAAGGTACGGATGACTGGATGATTACTTGTGATCTTGTCCTGTGATGATCACATGAATGCTTTTTCTTACTAGCTGAGTCATATGTGACTCTGCATTTTCGAGTTTACAAGTAAAGGCACTGAATTTAAAATGTAGCATCTTTTAGTAGAACTTCAAATTGGTGTTCAGAGGTAATTCTTTTTATTATATTATTTTTTTTCTGATAGTTTCACGTTTGTAATATTGCTATTTCTGTGTAAGTCCCCACTTTCTGTTTTATGTTATCAATCAATCACTGAATTTAAAATGTAGCATCTTTTAGCAGAACATCAAATTGGTGTTCAGAGGTAATTATTTTTATTTTTTCTGATAGTTTCACGTTTGTATTATTGCTATTTCTGTGTAAGTCACCACTTTCTGTTTTATGTTATCAGTCAATCAAAGGCAAATTATAGTTTAATTTCACATAGCACATACGTTCCTAATTATTGTATTGTTCATCTTTAACCCCTTCACGCCTAAGGGTAAAACAAATCTAAATGCCTAAGCACAATTCTGCAACGTTGACATGTGATAGTAAAACCGTACATATCACAACTACTTTGTACATCCAGGTGGATTATAGAGAGAGAGAGAAACAAGGGGGCCAGGCTGCACAGTGACTGATCACTGTGATATGCAATCAGAGGCTATCACAGCGATCATATGACCCGGGACCGGGAGTCCCGGGTCCCGATCGTTCGAACGGGACCCGGTGCTTTCAGTGACACCGCGGTCTCATTGCTGGGAGCGCGCCGAGCAGCACGCTCCCAGCACAAAGACAGGTACGCAAATATGCGGCCCCACAGAAAAAAACCCAGTTCCGTGAGGCCGCATATTTGTGTGACGTCGGCGGGGAAGGGGTTAAAGTCCATTTTTGATGCAGTTTTTAAGTGTTTTCTGTTCTGTACATCCATTATTGTAAATGCAGAGAATTGTGGAAAAAAAATTTTCAGACTGGAATGGTAGATTCTTACTAGAGAGAAGATTGCACAGCATGTGCATTTCAATGCAGACCCCAGTGAGACTACCACTAGATTTCAGTGAATGTAAACCCTAAACCTGGCCATGCCCTATTAGATTGGAGGCTGAACCAAAAAAAATAAAAATCTAAAAGACTCCTCCATCCATGGTATACAGTGCAGATGGACAAATCCCCCCTGCTGAGCTTTTGAAATTTTACAGCTGCTGATGGCAGGATACCAGTGGCAGAATTACAAAATCTGAATGCAGTTTGGCCAAGTGTGTGTGTGTGTGTGTGTGTGTGTGTGTGTGTGTGTGTGTAATAAAAAAAAAAAAATTTAATTAAGTGGGATGCGCTAATTCATAAATGGAGTCATCAGAAAGCAAAGGGAACCATATTCCTCACAGAAGATGCTTCAGGGAAATTCCTCAATCACGTATCCATCCTGGTGCTAACATATCAAAGATGAAAGCAAAAAGCTCCACATAGTGTGTACCATTCAAACTACCCCTTTATTAAAAAAAGTAGAACGCTCACATTAAAAAGAAGTAAAAGCACTTAAACATTGACTGGTAAAGTCAAAATGGCTTCCCTTAGACTTCCCGGGCAATTCTTCTGTCAGTTATGGTTGCAATCTTTCTTTGTCTACCTGACCTTGGCTTGGTATCAAGAGATCCCCAAACTTTCCACTTCTTAATAAGTGATTTAACAGTACTGATTGGCATATTCAAGGCTTTGGACATCTTGATATGTCCTTTTCCATCTTTATAAAGTTCCATTACCTTGTTACGCAGGACTTTTGATAGTTCTTTTTTTATCCCCATGGCTCGGTATATACACACACACACTTGGTTGGCCATACTGTATACAGTCAGACTACACAATCCTCCACAGGTTCATACAGAATGTGCATTATGTAGATTGACCTATCCAAGTCTGTCAATTAGCAAATCATCAGGCAAACTAGTGCACTATGCTGTAACCGATATATCTAAAGGAGACTGCACAACCTGATTGTACAGTGTATGGCCAACTTAAATTGGAGCCATCCCAAATCAAAGAAACACTTGAAGGTCTCATTCTTCATTCATACCATTTGGGTATAACTTGTCTAGTTTATAAATCCAATATCCTTCCCTCTGGAATATCAACCTAGCCAGGTCCACACCTTTTTGATGGACATTTGATTTCCTCAACTACAGTGAACCATTATTGTGAGTTGTTGTGATTTGCTTCTCAGAAATGGTGTGCTATTAGTGAGGTAGGGTCAACCCCCCCCATAATTTCCTTCACCAAAGGTTGCTATATGAGAATCCCTTTCCTTTTTATAGGACCTCTCCTATTCTTGATCTACCCTCCTCCCTGGGTCAGTTGATAGCCTCCTGTGGCTTTCAATATCCTTTCTATGCTGATGACACCCAAATCTATCTCTCTACCCCTCGCTCACAACATCAGTTTCCTCACACATCACTAATTTACTGACGACACATCAGTCTGGATGTCGCACCACTTCCTCAAACTTAATCTATCTAAAACCAAGCTGTTAATCTTTTTGCCCCCACGTGCTCATTGCCCTGACTTGTCATGATCAGCCATCCACCCGCCATGCATACCAGGGTGCTAGGTGTAATCCTGGAATATGAACTCTCCTTTTGGCCCGACATCCAATCACTTTCCAAAGCTTGCTGTCTTTACCTCCTAACCAATGACACCACAGAGCCCCTAATTCACTCCCAGGTTGTCTTAGAGCCTTGACTACTGCAACTCTCTCCTCATTGGCTTACCTTTACATAGGCTATCCCCCCTCCAGTCCATCATGAATGCTGTTGCCAGGCTCAACCACCTTACCAACCATTCAGTGTCTGCCACCCCTCTCTGCCAATCCCGGCACTGGCTGCCACTCACCCAACAAATTAAATTCAAAATACTAACAACTTCTTACAAAACCATCCACAACCAGGCCCCCAGCTACATCACTAATCTAGTCTCAAAATAGTCTCTATTTCCTTTGTCACTTCCTCCCGTGCTCGCCTGCAGGACTTCTCCCGAGCCTCTCCCATCCTATGAAATACCCTATCTCCTACTCTGTCCACTTTTAGGCGGTCCCTAAAAACTTTTCTCTTAGAGAAGCCTATTGTGCCCCCATGTAAAAACTATACATGTATTCTCCTAGATTGTAAACTCTAACAAGCAGGGCCCTCTGTTTTCTTTTGTACCAAATTGTATTGTAACTGTAATGTCTATCTTCATTTTGTAGAGCGCTGCTCAAACTGTTGGCGCTATATAAATCCTATATAATAATAATAATGTATTTTCTCCATCAGCTCATCCCCCCAGTAATTACCTTTTTGTATCTCTTGACCCTCCCCTTTTAGATTGTAAGCTGTAATGAGCAAGGCCCTCTGATTCTTCCTGTACTCAGTTGTATTGTAACTGTACTATTTGCCCTCACGTTGTGAAGCACTGCGCAAACTGTTGGTGCTATTTAAATCTTGTAATAATAATACAAGTATGCAGAGATTTCAGCAATAGATTTCCACAGGGATCATAGAGTCTGTGCAACCTGCAAAATCAACCTATATCTGCTGGTTTCTAAAATATCAGTCATCCAGGAAACAGGAAGGTGTGAGATGATAGTGTCAGTTCAATGACTAACTTCCTTTCTTTTTTGCTTTGTTTTTCCAGTGCTTTGTTCACATGGCTGCTGCATCCATTCATTCTCCACCGGGATCTCTAGAACTCAACCAGCCTGGCTTCAAGAAGGAGATCCTCGGGACCAAGCTTGAAGTAAAATACCTGTGCTCAGAGTGCAAGAATATCCTTAGGAGGCCGTTTCAGGCTCAGTGTGGACACCGCTACTGCTCGCATTGTCTGAGGAAGATAGTGAGGTGAATAGCAGAGAATTCTGGTAAAATGGAAGGGGAGGGGGGGGGGGGCATTTGGACATATTTAGTAGTGCAGAAGTCACCAATTGCCATAAGAATTCGTTTTTGACTAATGCGAAGAGCTTAAACTTAAAGCTGGTTAGAGGGTTAGATAATCAGTAATTTCTAGAAAGTGTCTTCTCTTAAAGCAACAGTAAAGATTCCTTTTTCTTTTTTTATTAGTTAAAATAAACATATTTACCTGCTGTCCCCCACTGGTGCTCCAGGCTCCTCCTCTTCGGCGAGTGACCCATAGGAAGCCGCTTTCCATGGGAGCACCCGTACGGGCTTGCTACCCAGCTGCCCTCATTGACACAGAGCAGGCAGCTCGGCAACCTTCCTTGACCAAGCAGCACCTACCTTTCCTTCACTCCTTACACAGGTCTTTTCAGGTGAAGGGAGTGAATAATGTACCTGGTATATACCCATTGAACTCACTCCATGTGAAAGTGCTGGTGATTTGCTCATCACTGCCTCATAGAGGTGGGGAGAAAGTCCTTTGCTCTCAAGTCAGAGTGAGTCAGAGCTTACACTGACTTTTTTTTTTTCTTTTTGCTGATGGCTGAATGGAGCTGTGGAGGAGTGAAATGAAGATAAGTATTTGCTGTCGGGAACGGAGGCTTAGTACTGTAAGACTTTTCAGCCCCCAAAACAGACATTTCTCTGATGGGTGATATTGGAATGTATCATCCTATGTTTCTTACAACTCTTGGAAGCTGCAGTATCTCACAGTTTTCCAGATTTCACCACATCGGAAAGTTTAAGTTTATTCCCATATTGCAGAATAAAATAAAAATACAGTCTGAAATTATTTTATAGTTATTTTAACATAGGCCTAAGCACCAGAGTCCCTGGAAAATATCAACATTCTAAGTAAATGGGATGATTTTGTTACCTGTTATTTAAAAAATATAACCTATTGCAGTTTACCAGTCCTTGGATGTGTAAGCTGCACTAGTATTATTTTCTTTATTTGTTGCTTGGTGATTCTGCCAGTACCACACTTTCTGTCCCAGGATGACTACACTCACTCACTGTACTGTTCTCTATCAAGGAGCAGCGTTCTCACTATAGGACAGGACTAAAGTACCCCCCCCAGTATGCATAACATAGAGTGAAGGGAGTGGGGGATATGTAGTTTTCAGAAATAACTGGGAACAATGTAACTGGTAAGAGTGCAGCACAGGAAGAATACGAGATGTTATTGGCTCACAAGGTCTCTGACAGGATCATAAAGTGTTTTTCTTTTTAACCCTCAATAAACTGATAGAACACTTTCAATGGTATAGTTAATAAACCAAAAGGGAAAAAATAAGGCGTTTGTTGTCAGGATTTTCATATACTGTAAGCAAAACAGACATAATGGCGAAGGTTAATAAATTCTTTGTTCCTGGCTATTGAGCTTTCTGTGGCATAGTAGAGCAGTGAAGGGAAACAGTGTTCACGGTCTGCTTTTGTGTCTCACTCAGCTCCGGTCCTCAGAAGTGTGCTGCTTGCATTCAGGAAGGCCTTTTCGAAGAAGGAAGCTCTTTTTTGGAAAGCAGCACAGTAAGTCATAAGCCTGTGGTGAGCGGTGTGTGAAGGATTAGAATCTCTGTCATGTTTTTATTTCTACCTATCACCCCTTTATGGAGACATCTGTTTTTTACCTTGTCTCCATGACATTGTCCCACACTTCTGCTTAAAGGAGCGGGGTAAGACATGAGATTTTGACAATTACAATCGGAGAGAGATTTTCTCATTGTTTCTCCTAGTTACATCTTTGCTAAAAAAAAACAAGACACAAGCACATGTCCGATGGATAAAAAAAAAATTAGAAAACTAAATCCACAATTGATCTAGGGAGAGGCAAAAACGTTCATAAAGGCTGGCATACTTTGCTCCTGCAGAGAAAAAAAAAAAATTGTAGAATGGTTATCCAATTGCCTATGGTGATCTGAAACAATGTTCTTTCTTACAAGTATTGAAGAAAGGGCGAGTTGCCCATGGGTTCAAGGCTGCTCCATCCCTAACAAATCAAACAAGAAGAAATGTCTCCCCTGGGACTTTGTTGCAGCCAAAAGGATAATAACCAAAAGTATGAGTGAAAGATCAAATTTTATTGTACAAATTAAAAATTAGGTAAAAGCTCTGGTCTCCTATACATGCAAATTAACGCCTTCACAACAATGCACATCTAAAGCATCAATGCATATTGAGTAGAGTTCAATGTATTGACCACAAAGTTCCCAATGTGTTTCGATTATCAAACAGTCTTCATCAGGGGAAAGATAAAAGTATAAAAACAGTGCGGCGCTCAAACCAAAATAGATATATTGTATCAAATGACATATAGTTATATATTCCCCACCATATATATAGGTAGCTCAAACAACCATACCACCTGTATATAATGATGGACTGGTGATGGCATACACTCAAGCAACTTATTCATACTCCATAGTGACTTCAAGCATAATGCAGTGAATAGTGTCCTTGTGCATAAGATAACATGCAGGTGTGAACTGCAGGTGCCAATCCTCAAATAGGTGAAGTGCCCCCTCACCTTCCTGCCCAGGCCCTTAGGGACCAATGAGCCTTTTGATATATAGTGGATCTTGGATAGGTCCTTCAGATGGTAGATCCCTCAGGAAGTAATGGTGGGACTCTCCTCCTCTTAACTTCTATATCAGGTCATTGGTGGTATCAAAGGTACCCCTCCCACACGGTCATCAATAAGGAAAAGAGAACTTGCATAGTGTAAAACCGCTTTAATGAATGAGTATAAAAACCAAAAACCTACTCACATGCTATTCATAAAAAAACGAGCCTTCACACCACTCAAAGGGTGTACTGCATTCAGGAACTAGGAGCACCAAGATGGCGCCCGCGCCGGATATGACGTCAGAACGTTCGTGTAAGCTCCTCCCACTGGCGCATCTACGCACTACGTCACTTCAAACACGTGACTTCATCAGGATATCCTGAATAGCATGTGAGTAGGTTTTTGGTTTTTATACTCATTCATTAAAGCGGTTTTACATAAGTGTGCACACCCCCTAACTGGGGATGTAGCTGTGTTCAGAATGGAGCAATCACATTCAAAATCATGTTACATAGGTGTCAGTACACATCTGCTATCATTTAAAGTGCCTCTTATCCCCAAATAAAGTTCAGCTGTTCTAGTAGGTGTTTCCTAACATTTTCTTAGTCGCATCTTACAGCAAAAGCTATGATTCACAGAGAGCTTCCAAAGCGTCAGAGGGATCTCATTGTTAACAGGTATCAGTCAAGGGAAGGGTGCAAAAGAATTTCCAAGGCATTAGATATACAGTCAGGTCCATAAATATTGGGACATCAACACAATTCTAACATTTTTGGCTTTATACACCACCACAATGGATTTGAAATGAAACAAACAAGATGTGCTTTAACTGCAGACTGTCAGCTTTAATTTGAGGGTATTTACATCCAAATTAGGTGAACGGTGTAGGAATTACAACAGTTTGCATATGTGCCTCTCACTTTTTTAAGGGACCAAAAGTAATGGGGACAATTGGCTTATCAGCTGTTCCATGGCCAGGTGTGTGTTATTCCCTCATTATCCCAATTACAATGAGCAGATAAAAGGTTCAGAGTTCATTTCAAGTGTGCTATTTGCATTTGGAATCTGTTGCTGTCAACTCTCAAGATGAGATCCAAAGAGCTGTCACTATCAGTGAAGCAAGCCATCATTAGGCTGAAAAAACAAAACAAACCCATCAGAGAGATAGCAAAAACATTAGGCATGGCCAAAACAACTGTTTGGAACATTCTTAAAAAGAAGGAACGCACCGGTGAGCTCAGCAACACCAAAAAACCTGGAAGACCACGGAAAACAACTGTGGTGGATGACCAAAGAATTCTTTCCCTGGTGAAGAAAACACCCTTCACAACAGTTGGCCAGATCAAGAACACTCTCCAGGAGGTAGGTGTATATGTGTCAAAGTCAACAATCAAGAGAAGACTTCACCAGAGTGAATACAGAGGGTTCACCACAAGATGGAAACCATTGGTGAGCCTCAAAAACAGGAAGGCCAGATTAGAGTTTGCCAAACGACATGTAAAAAAGCCTTCACAGTTCTGGAACAACATCCTATGGACAGATGAGACCAAGATCAACTTGTACCAGAGTGATGGAAAGAGAAGAGTATGGAGAAGGAAAGGAACTGCTCATGATCCTAAGCATACCACCTCATCAGTGAAGCATGAGGGTGGTAGTGTCATGGCGTGGGCATGTATGGCTGCCAATGGAACTGTTTCTCTTGTATTTATTGATGATGTGACTGCTGACAAAAGCAGCAGGATGAATTCTGAAGTGTTTCGGGCAATATTATATACTCATATTCAGCCAAATGCTTCACAACTTATTGGACGCCGCTTCACAGTGCAGATGGACAATGACCCAAAGCAGACTGCAAAAGCAACCAAAGAGTTTTTTTAAGGGAAAGAAGTGGAATATTATGCAATGGCCAAGTCAATCACCTGACCTGAATCTGATTGAGCATGCATTTCACTTGCTGAAGACAAAACTGAAGGGAAAATGCCCCAAGAACAAGCAAGAACTGAAGACAGTTGCAGTAGAGGCCTGGCAGAGCATCACCAGGGATGAAACCCAGCGTCTGGTGATGTCTATGCGTTCCACACTTCAGGCTGTAATTGACTGCAAAGGATTTGCAACCAAGTATTAAAAAGTGAAAGTTTGATTTATGATTATTATTCTGTCCCATTACTTTTGGTCCCTTGTCAAGTGGGAGGCACATATGCAAAGTGTTGTCATTCCTACACTGTTCACCTGATTTGGATGTAAATACCCTCAAATTAAAGCTGACAGTCTGCAGTTAAAGCACATCTTGTTTGTTTCATTTCAAATCCATTGTGGTGGTGTTATATAGAGCCAAAAATGTTAGAATTGTGTCGATGTCCCAATATTTATGGACCTGACTGTACCATGGAATACAGTGCAGACCGTTATCAAGTGGAGAAAATATGGTGCAACAGTGACATTACCAAGAACTGGACGTCCCTCCAACATTGGTGAAAATACAAGAAGAAAACTGGTCTGGGAAGCTGCCAAGATGTCTGCAGGAATATCTGGCAAGTACTGGCTGTGTGGTACATGTGACAACAATCTCCTGTATTCTTCATATGTCTGGGCTATTGGGTAGTGTGGCAAGATGAAAGCCTTTTCTTATGAAGAAAAACATCCAAGTCTGGCTAAATTTTGCAAAAACACATCTGAAGTCTCCCAAAAGCATGTGTGAAAAATGTGTTATGGTTTGATGAAACCAAGGTTGAACTTTTTGTCCATAATTCCAAAAGATATGTTTTGCGTAAAAACAACACTGCACATCAGCAAAAGAACACCAAACCCACCGTGAAGCATGGTGGTGGCAGTATCATGCTTTGGGGCTGTTTTTGTTCAGCTGGAACTGGGGTCTTAGTCAGGTAGAGAGAATTATGAACAGTTCCAAGTGCCAGTCACAATTGGTACAAAACCTTCAGGTTTCTGCTAGAAAGCTGAACATGAAGAGGAATTTCATCTTTCAGCATGACAACGACCCAAAGTATACATCCAAATCAACAAAGGAATGGCTTCACCAGAAGAAGATTAAAGTTTTGGAATGGCCCAGCCAGAGGGCTGTGCACAGGAAGTGCCCTCGCAATCTGACAGATTTGGAGTGTTCTTGCAAGGAAGAGTTTTCAAATATTGCCCAGTCAAGATGTGCCATGCTGATAGACTCATACCCAAAAGGACTGAGTTCTGGAATCACATCAAAAGGTGCTTCAAGAAAAGTATTAGTTTAAGGGTGTGCACTCTTAGACAACAATGTTATTTTAGTTTATTTTTACTGCCCTCCGCCTAAAAGATTTTCGTTTGTTGTTCAACTGAGTTGTACAGTTTATAGGTCACATTAAAGGTGGAAAAAGTTCTGAAATAATTTCTTTGTCTCATTTTTTTACATCGAGAAACCTAACATTTTAACAGGGGTGTGTAGACTTTTTATATCCACTGTATATAGAGCAAGACATTTGTATGGCATAACATTCATGTCATAAATGCAAATCTATATCACTTACATTGATTACCAGAATATATACCGCAAAATATTTTTTGCTTTAAAATTTGTCCTGAAGAACCCTCATCTCCACAGCAATTTGGACTTAAACTGGCATTTTGTTTAATAAAATTTGATATTTTACTCCTATTTGTTATCCTTTTGGCTGCAACAAAAGTCCCAGGGGAGATATTTTGTCTTGTACTTTCTTAGAAATATTAATGCTCATTAATAATTTGTTCAACAAAAGCATGCAGCCATTTTTTGAGGCATTAGATATCTCAGTTATTCCCAGAAACAACACATTATAGCAAGGGAATATGTAAGTGGTGAGTTGACCTGGTGTATTGCAGTTGTGCTTGAATGAAAGCCATGAACATGAATTTTTCCTTTACATGTACTGCTAGGGAGACATTTCCAATGCAATGCATCATTAGTACATGATACAGAACAGTAAACAGACATACCAGTACATTGCTGGAAGGTGAAAGAGAAGATAATACATAATGGTGTCATTGTTCCCTTGGATGAGAAATATTCTCAATACTGAGATCATAGGCTTGGATTTTCACTTGTGTGTAAATCCCGGGGATCCGCCTTGTGACGAACTGCCTGGCACCCTGACTGGGTGCCTCTGCCAAACAGTACCTCTTGCCTTCCAAACCTTCCAGCAGACTGATAGCTAATACTGGCCCTTTATCTCAAGCATCATACACAGTCAAGATGTTGAGGTAAAACCAAAGTAATAACTTTATTGAACAAAAATACAGGTTTTTATACACTTCAAAAACGGGGGGCAGTCCGCACATGAATAATAAAAACAAATATTACACATTGGGGTAAACATCCCACAATGGTTAGGTAATGATGGTTACTAAGTGAAATAATGCACCTAGGGAAAAAGAATACCTTGAGAGAGTACAACATTGGGGGTACATTGTTGGCCAGCACTACAGAGGAAAAGGATTTGAGGTACTTATTTCAGATGATTGCAAAATGAGCAAACAGTGTGACCAAGCAGTGGGGAAAGCAAATAGAATTCTAGAATGCATTACTAAATTTCTGCCATTAAGTGATCAGGTTAACCTGATTTGGCCTAAATGACAGTCTGGTACCTATGACCTTCAACTGCTGCTGGCAAGCGCCTTCTCCGGTATATCTCAAAAGAAGAGAAAAATCAAAGATTTGTCTAACAGCAGGACTCCCGTATGCCTGCATAGTATAAATGTGCACCCTTGATTGATTCGTGTGTGCATGTTTTTGTAGCTGCCTGGACATTCATACCACAAGTTCAATCTCTCTTTAATTTTGTGTCCAAAAAAAAGGCTGATCAACCTAAATTAAGTAAATTTTTAGTTGCCCAAAATCTGCTTTTTCCAGCATTTCAGATGCTGGATTTATTTTATTCGTCATGTAACCTGAATGATTCAGGTTTGGGATGGTTAAATCACCCACTGGCTGCTTGTATCTCTTGAACAAGAGAATGAAGCCAATGGGTGGTGAAGTTTGTCATTTAAAAAAAGAAAAAAAAAATCTTTGGGCTGACTGACCCATTTTAAAGGCTGCTATTACTGAAATATGCTCTGCTGGCTCATGACTCTCAAAGAGTGTTTGAGATTTATGTCAAAGGAAAAAACAGGAGTGTTCTTGTATAAGTGCTTTGAATTAGTCGCTCTGTTACTGAAATAAAAATGAAACCACAAAGCTGTAAATTAAGAAAATGTATATTTTCCTGTCCTGGCACCCTCTGTGGCATCTTCACTACCCATAGAATCTTCGTATACAACTCACTTTTGAATGTGTTGGATGCAGGAGTTTCTTTTTTTTCTCTCTGCTGTGTCCTGTAGTGAATGTAGAGTTGATTTTACTCTTAAAGGGTCAGTCCACCCAAACTGACATGCTTCTTAAGATACCAGAGCGTTAAACTACACGATGACTTCTTGTATCTCTCTTTGAGTATGTTGAGGATATCATTGCATTTCAATTTCCAGGTCTTTCCACCTGCCTCAATTGTTGGGAGGGGTCCCACTCTGAGTATGGGATTTCCAACTTACGTTATATAATGCAGAATGGGGCAAGGTGACATCTTCCCAACATGGACAGGAACACCAGAACTTCGATTTGGGCTGAAACTGGAAAAAAGATCTTATTTGTGTCATATACATAACAAAGATGTCACCTTTGGGTGGACAAATCCTTTAATGGGTGAAATATCAAAGTGTAGTTTTCTAGAACAGTCAGCAATTATCTGTTATATTTGTGTGATATTTTACTTGTGTGTGATAAATATTGTATGATGAAAGGTACGTTTTTGTTTTATCATTTGCAGGCATTTCCTGATAACGCTGCACGGCGAGAGGTGGAAGGTCTGCCTGCCGTCTGCAACAATAATGGTTGCTCGTGGAGAGGCACTATCAAGGAGTATGAGGTGAGGTGTGCTGCGTCCTCTGATTTGTGCCCAAAACTCTGAGCTCTTGAACTATAAATGTGCATACCAAATAGGAATTGCAGTCTCATGATCAGTTTTTCCTAGAAATAAATAAAATAGCTGTAAATTCCCCTCTCGTACTAAGATGTTATGGTGAAAAAACAAATATGTGAAAACAAACTCTTCAGTGTATGAAAAAAAAAAACAAAAAAATTAAATAACATTTTTCTAGAAATAGTTGAAGTGTTATTTTCAACCTTCATCTCTGCCATTTTGCTTTGTATTTACTGTATCTCTTTACCAGCTGACAGGCAGCTCCAGACCCATTTACTCATAGGCACTTATGAATTCATTTTCACATGTGCTTGAAAGCTTTACCTTGTACCCTTTGAATTATTCCTACACCTAAAAGTGATATTTTAGCCATAAGTGGATCACGGTGGGCTATATTAGCCCCTGGCTTCTGGTATGTCTCAGATATGGATAGACCACTGCCATAATTCCATATGGCTATTTTGGGTGCACTTGCGTACCTTTTTTGTGTGTTTCAGCTTGTCCTTTTATGTTAAAATACTCAAAAAATGAGTATAAATACCAGCAGGATGAGCGGCAGCTGCTCATATTAGGCATACTAGGAGTACAGACCCCAGAACTCAAAGTGGAGTGCGTGAGAGATAGAAGAAGCTGTATGATGGTTTAAAGAGACCCTGTCACCAACTCAAAAAAAGGTAACAGTCCAGGCAAATTAGGCATTGTAATTGCATACCGCCAGTGTTTTTCCTTTTCAGAAATAGTTTTTTCAATTGTACTTGCCTTTTTGAAAAAAAAAATCTCAGAGGTCCCCCATACTAACTAAGCAATGTTAGTGCGGTGATCTCCCTCGCTGAGCCATTTTGCTCTGACAGAGGGGCTGCCAACGAGCCAGTGACTGCAATTGTTGATCTGGTTGCTGGTTCTCCAGCATGCCCATTTGACAGCAGCTGATTGTTAGACTGGCCTCTGTTGGACAGGCTGCTGTACACACTGGCCGAATGTCTGCTGGTTTCTGTTGAACTGGTCGATGTTCGGCCCATGTGTGCTAGCCTTAACTCCAGAATCTTCCGAAAACCAATGGCCATTTAATGAATATTAATGCACCTTTTCTACAGGGTGTTTTTTTCTTTGCAAATTAGGATGGACCACTGAGGATTAGAGAGCCTCCTAAAGATATGATGCATGTTAATATGGAGGTGGAGACTTAGCTCCTTGAGTAGATGGATTTTCACTACCCTGATATTAATTGGAATATTGGCACTGCTGGAACAGTTAAAGGGGAAGCATTTATAAACCTATTACAAGACAATTTTATGGTACAGTTCATAGAGGCCCCGACTGGGAATGATACTAGGAATAATGGGCCTGGTAATGGCAAACCATTAAGAGCTTCTTACTATTGTTCATATAAAAACATCTGGGTAACAGTGATCATAACATGATTTCATTTAATGTTAGCTGTGAACAAACACACACTGGAAAGATAAAAACACTTAACTTTAAGAGAGCAAATATTCCAGGGATGAGGGGCTGCTCTCCATACATCCATGGATCCTAAAAAGTGAGCTCTGTCATTTCAAACCCATTGTGTCTAATATTTAGAAACTCTTTAATGAGTGGCATAGTACAACTGGATTGGCATAAGGCCAATGTGGTGCCAATATTTAAAAAGGGATCAAAGTAACTACATACCTGTTAGTTTAAAGCGATTTCTAAAGGTCATTTTTTTTTTTCCTGGAAAATCACAAACATGGTATACTTGCCTACTGTATCCAATGGTTTTGCACAGAGCAGCCTGGATCCTCCTCTTCTTGGGTCCCCCGCAGGCTCTCTTGGCCCCTCGCTCCTGTTGGATGCCTCCACAGCTTGCTGATTTCTTTTTTTATGAGGAGGTAAGCAAATCTTTAGACAAAGAAGTAGCTGTGGATGCTGTATACTTGGGTTTTGCAAAAGCGTTTGACACAGTTCCCCACACACGGCTAATGTGTAACGTAAAATCTGCAGGCTTGAAAAAGCAGTTTGTAAATGGATAGAAAACTGGCCAAAAGAACGTATTCAGAGAGTAGTGGTTAATGATTCATACTCTGAATGGCCTAGGGTAGTCAGTGGTGTACCCCAAGGTTCAGTGTTTGGTCCCTTTACTTTTTAATATATTTATTAAACAATATAGAGGCTGGGATTAAAAATCCCATTTCAGTCTTTGCTGATGACACCAAGCTGTGCCGTGGAATAACGTCCTTACAGGATGTCTCCAATTTACAAGCCGACCTCAATGCACTGTTCTTATTGGACAACTGTGTGGCAAATGAGGTTTAGTGTTGATAAATATAAAGTTATGCACTTGGGAGCTAAACTTACGCACGCATCTTACATACTGGGGGGGGGGGGGGTACAACTGGGGGAATCAATGGTGGAGAAGGATCTGGGAGTTCTGGTAGATCACAAGCTTAATAATGGCATGCAATGCCAAGCTGCGGTTTCTAAAGCGAGCAAAATCCTCTCTTGTATGAAAAGAGGTATAGACTCCAGAGAGAGATATCATATTACCCATTACAAATATTTAGTAAGTCCTCATCTGAGGTCCCTCAAGAGCTGGTTTTGGCCAGCTCAGTAGATTGTTTTAAAAAAAGACCTGTATTCTTTCCTAAATGTACACAATATAACTGGATACTAATATTTTTACAGTGCCTTGAAAAAGTATTCATACCCCTTGAAAGTTTCCACATTTTGTCATGTTACAACTAAAAACGTAAATGTATTTTATTGCAATTTTATGTGATAGACCAACAGAAAGTGGCACATAATTGTGAAGTGGAAGGAAAATGATAAATGGTTTTCAAAATGTTTTACAAATATCTGAAAAGTGTAGTGTACATTTGTATTCAGCCCCCTTTACGCTGATACCCCTAACTAAAATCCAGTGGAACCAATTGCCTTCAGAAGTCAGCTAATTAGTAAATAGAGCCCACCTGTGTGTAATTTAATCTCAGTATAAATACAGATGTTCTGTGAAGCCCTCAGAGGTTTGTTAGAGAACATTAGTGAACAAACCGCATCATGAAGGCCAAGGAACACAGTAGACAGGTCATGGATAAAGCTGTGGAGAAGTTTAAAGCAGGGTTAGGTTATTAAAAAAAAAAATATCCCAAGCTTTGAACACCTCACGGAGCACAGTTCAATCCATCATCAGAACATGGAAAGAGTATGGCACAACTGCAAACCTACCAGAACATGGCCGTCCACCTAAACTGACAGGCTGGGCAAGGACAGCATTAATCTGAGAAGCAGCCAAGAGGCCCATGGGAACTCTGGAGGAGCTGCAAAGATCCACAGCTTAGGTGGGAGAATCTGTCCACAGGACAACTATTAGTTGTGCACTCCACAAATCTTGCCTTTTATGGAAGAGTGCAAAAAGAAAACCGTTGTTGAAAGAAAGCCATAAAAAAAAAAAGCATCTGAGGTCAGCAAATGTAGAAGACAGATGAGACAAAAATGGAACTTTTTGGCTTAAAAGCAAAACTCTGTGTGTGGTGGAAAACGAACACTGCACATCATCCTGAACACACCATCCCCACTGTGAAACATGGTGGTAGCAGCATCATGTTGTGGGGATGCTTTTCTTCAGCAGGAACAGAGAAGCTGGTCAGAATTGATGGGAAGATGGATGGAGCCAAATACAGGGCAATCTTAGAGGAAAACCTGATAGTCCACAAAAGACTTGAGACTGGGGCGGAGGTTCCCCTTCCAGCAGGACAACGACCCTAAACATACAGCCAGAGCTACAATGGAAATACAATGGTTTAAATCAACACATATTCATGTGTTACAATGGCCCAGTCAGAGTCCAGACCTAAATCCAATTGAGAATCTGGCAAGACTTGAAAATTGTTGTTCACACAGACGCTCTCCATCCAGTGCGAGGTATTTTGCAAAGAAGAATGGGCAAAAATGTAATTCTGTAGATGTGCAAAGCTGGTACAGACAACCCCCATAAAGACTCGCATTTGTAAGGCTCCATTCACATCTGAGCATAGTGGTTTTCAGCGTTTTGTGCTTGTTTTTTTTTGTGTGTGGTTTTTGCACATTTATAGGTGTTTTTGAGCTTTGGCATTTTTTTTTATAAGCCAATAGAGAAAAATATCATTTGTTGTATCATTTGTTGCTCATTTTTTGCTAGGTTTTTTTTTTTTTTTCTGCTTTACTTGTTCAATTTTTTTTATTTTGTTTTGTTAGGATAAGGGGTTAGAGTTAAGGTTAGGTTAGGGCTTGGGTTAGGGTTAGTAGTTTCATTATTTTCTTATTTATTTTTTAGTATTTTACTTAATATTTTCTCATTTTTTGTTAGAGTAATAATAATTTAAAAAAATGAATAAATGTAAAATAAATACACAAGTAAATAAAAATAATCATAAATACTAGGTATTAATAAATAAATATTACACTCTAACCCCCTAACCCTTAAAAATATCAAACAAATTATTATTAATAATAATAAATACCTAAATCCAAACAAAAAAAAATAATGTAAAATAAATACACAAATAAAAATAATCATGAATAAATACTAATAGTAATAGTAAATTAACCCATAACCTTAACCCCCTAAAACCTAAAAAAGTAATAAAATACCAATAATTTGTTGTTGTTAACTTATTTTTTTTTTGCTCAGGAGTTTTTTAATAATAATTTTTCTTTTTTTTTTTTTTTTTTTTTTTTTTTGGTTAGGTGTTTGCGATTTATTTATGATTTATCTATCATGATTTTTTCGTATACTATTGCTATTTTTTATTTTACATATTTTCATCTGAGCAGAAAATCGCACAAAACGCATTACAAATGTGGCAATCGTACGTTTCTATTTTTTTTCTATGGGAATAAAAATTTAGCCAAAAACGTGAGCATCTTCCCAAATTGAGCTACAAAAGTAGCTTTAGAACTTTTTTGAGCTTCAGGTGTTCTGCTTCAGG